GTGTGTAAACGGAATTTTATGCAGAGCTTTGATAGACTCTGTAGCGGGAAGTTCCAACGCTTCAGCAAAGTTAATACACGAACTTCACATTAAACCCCTAGATGTACAAACGAAGAAGATCGACATCCTTATGTGTTCAAAACAAGCACGTTTAGAGACATACGAAGTTAAGATTGAGTCAACAGAGGACAATTTCGCCATGACAACATATTTAATCAAAGTCGATAAGCCAGAACTGCTTTTCCTTCAGAATCCCAACTACGAAAGCCTTATCCAAAAATATCCACACTGAAAGGGAGTGACCATAAAAGATCAAGACAAAAAACCAATGCTTCCTGTTCATGTTGTTCTGAGCAGTGGAGACTACTCTAGAATAAAAACTGAGACACCGCCTAGAGTTGGAAAGGACATGGAACCAGTTGCAGAGCTGACTCAACTAGGATGGTTCTTGATGTCTCCAGGGAAAGAATTCGACAGGAAGACAATGTTGCTCACTCAAACAAATCAGTTGCATTACGAAGAATTGTGTCGCCTTTACGTTCTTGGTCTTAAAGATGCTCCCGAACACGATCAGCGCATAGTTTACAACGAATTCAAAGAACAGCTCACCAGAAACCCCGAAGGCTGGTATGAGACTGGATTACCGTGGAAAGGGAATTTCCCAACATTATCAACGAATTTACAGGGAAGTCGGCGCCGGCTCAAAAGCCTGGTTACTAAGCTCAAATGTGAGGGGCTGATGAGTGAGTACGATGCTATCATTAAAGATCAGAAACCAAGTGGAGTAGTTGAGCCAGCCGAGAGTCCAGCAAAGGGGGTAGAGTTTTACCTACCCCATAAACCGGTAGTAAGAGAAACGGAGAAACCTATGAAAGTGCGAATCGTGTACGATGAGTCGGCCAAAGAGACACGTGACAGTCTGTCACTTAACGACTGCTTGTACGCCGTCCCTGCACTCCAAAATAAGCTATGGGATGTACTCGTCCAAAAGGCGTTTCTACAGGTGAGAGTCAGAGAGAATGAACGCGATGCTCTGAGATTCCACTGGCGAAGTAAAGAAGATTCCCAGTTAGAAACGTTGCGTTTTACGAGAGCGTTATTTGGGTTGGCGCCCTCGCCATTTCTCCTCGCTGGAGTGATCGAGCAGCATCTCAACTCATGGGAAGAAAGGTACCCTGATATCGTCACAGAACTACGCAAAAGTTTGTATGTAAATGATTTGCTCGCCGGTGGGCAAACCATTCCACAAGCAGAAGATCGAATGGAGAAAACGGTTGAAATCTTTGAAAACGCCTCATTCAAGTTACATAAATGGAACATGCCTGTCAAAACATGGTATCGTAGGTAGTGGCGCTACCTGCCAGTGTCTGAAGCTAACTGCAATCCTTGTCTGAACTCTGAAGTTTTTATGCATACTAACTAAAAAAACACTTAATATTTTCCACAAACTAATTGCAATTTTGCATTTTCTGGATTTCTATTCTTTGAATATTATTTATTATTTTACAATTTACATTAAGTATTACTAATAACATTGCATGTGAAACGCTGGCCAGTCGAGCCCGCATATTTTTCGTGCGCTAGACAATGACATTTAAGAATTTCAAAAATTTAAACAAACTATTTAATTGTAAGGGTAAAGGTTATATGGAAAAGGAATTTTTAATAAAGTAAATGAATAAGAGGGTGTATTGTGGAGACTGCGAGCAGAGCTGGTCCAGAAAGGATGGTTTTGATGAGCATTTTAAGCCAACCCAGATAAAGAGTGGCGATAGTGGCGGTGCTCTTATTAAAAACCCATGTTGTGAACGGAAAAGAAAAGTTTGGGGTTACACGTTAGAAGAGGCCCGAGCCAGCAAGAAACAGAATTCGCAGACTGTGAATATAAAACAGTCACAGGATTTGACTCGCTTGACGGCTATTGGGCTAACTGCAAAATTTTTTGGCTACCTGCAAAAAAACTAAATATACAGGCATGAAATGGAACTCAAACGTAAGCAAACTTGAAGTGAACTCTGAACCGTCAGCAGGAAACAACGAAGAAACATACGCCAAACAGCGGTTAGGTGGTGATTCAACTGACACAACAATGCTCGGGTTAAAGTAGAACAAATCGTCGGACACTCTAACTGTATCTGTTCCAACCGTTGACAGTGTTTCTACCACAACCAAACGCACAATCCTTAGTAAGTTAGCAAAGGTCTATGTCCCCCTAGGTGTGGTGCCACCCATCACTTTGGAAGGAAAAGTAAACTTTCGGGACGTGTGCAAGACTAAGGTACCATGGGATGCTGATATTCAGGAACCGTTAAGCCGTCCCTGGAACGAATGGGAAAAGTCGCAGCCTAAAGAAGAAACCATACCAAGTCCAATAGTGAAATACCGAGAGCCAGTTTTGAATGTAGAACTACACACCTTTGGTGATGCCTCGACGAAGGGTGTCGGAGCAGTGGTATACTCCGTAGTGCGACAAAGATCTGGGAATACACAACAATTAGTAACGGCCAAATCTAGATTGGCCAAAGAAAGATTGACAATTCCCCGTCTGGAGTTGATATGGCGATCAATCTAGTGAAGAATGTCCAAAACGCGCTCCAAAACCTTCCCGAACCAACAATCTATGGGTGGTTAGATAGCACCGTTGCTCTCCACTGGATTCGTGGAGAAGGACAGTACAGCCAGTTTGTCTCCAATCGAGTGTCCAAGATTAATCAACACCCAGAAATAAGTTGGAGACACGTACCACGAAAGACAACCCCGCAGAAATAGCCAGTCGAGGAGGGCATTTGTCCAAAAAATCTTTGTGGTGGAACAGTCCAGAATGGTTGGACGATCCAGAGAAATGTCCAGACAACCTTGAAACGCAACCATCCGCAGCAACTGAAGTTGAAGCCAAAGTGGTTCGAGAGGTTCTTTGTACAACACAAACTGAGCGAGTAGCTGACGAATTTGATCTATTGTTGGAAAAAAACGACCTTCATCGTACACTACGAGTATGTTCCTGGATCCTGAGATTCACAAGTAACTGCAGAATCAAAGAGAGTCAACGGGGTGCCCTGACAACTCAAGAGATTGAAAACGCTCGTCTGTGGTGGATCAAGCGAGTCCAACGACAGAGCGACATTGAGAAAGATTGAGAACAACTTAACCTGCAAGAAAATGACCAAGAGGTACTTCTGTGTCGGGGTGGCATACAAGGAGAAAACCCAGTCTACTTACCGAACACTAGAACATTCACGGAGAAATTAGTACAAGAAGCGCACTTGCGCACTCTCCACGGGGGAGTCGGATTAACAATGGCACATCTCCATCCTTCACTAAAATCAAAATTTTCCGTTCCAGCTTGGGCAGAAAATATTCAATCTCTCATAACTGCAGTTCTCTTTAACATGTAAAATCATCAGGCAGTACCCTCAGTAAAATACTTATTTAACCGGCTGACCATTTATACAGTAGTCAAAAGTTAATATTAAATGAATACATGCAAAAATTATTACAAATTAACTGCCCTCATACCAATCCATTAGTCTCTGACTCGTCCAATAAAAACTTGACAGAATAGTACGATGATAATAGAAAAGTGTGAAAAATATGCCAACTTTACCTAACATTCTGTGACAAGAAAATCAGATTACATTAATTTTAGAGAACAGTCAGGCATTCTTTTCTTTATCGTCTCAATACTCTGGTTGATGATTTTGATGTTTAAAAAAATTCCAATGGCGCCCATAAATTTTACTGGAAAAAATGTTTCCCCCACCTCTTGCCAGTAAATCTCCATAACCCCCAACTTTACCCATCCAAGGGAGAGTCTTGCACACTAATGGGATAATAAAAATTTGTAATTTTTCTCTGTCCAACACCAGACAATTTTACTTGTCAAGGGTAAGGTTTTAAAAGTGAATAATAAAAAGTGGCTGGATATTCTATACTTGCTCCATATAATTGAACTTTGGCTGTGAGCAAAATGTAAAAAGACAATTACCAGTAATACTGGCTTAACTTACTACATCCCTATTATTTACCTTGCAACCTTGAGCAGAATGCAAAATGAGGTTTCAAATGACATTTATTTTATGGCAATGATATTCCAGTGTACCAGCAAGACATTTGTCATTCGTTTCTCTTATCTTATTAGAGTGTTATCTTATCTTATTACTTGATTGCAGGTATTCAGATTCTGGAGTGCTGTGAAATGGCCCTGACCTTAGGCAATTAATTAAGTAATGTAATATGAGTGGTGCGATAGGAAATTTTTGATTCATTCATTCAATTAGAATGGTGAGAATAATGACGCTGTAGTTGATACTGCTGATAATGAAAATATATTGTACATATACCAGTTGTAATGAGACATAAATAATAAAGAAATTGGCAGTAATGAATGTGAATGACTTGATCAATTGTGCTGGTGAGAAGGCAGAACCTGGGTGCATTTTTGTATATTGTGTGATATTGCCATGGGCTGTGTAAATTGCCATTTTGTTTTCAAAACTAATGTCATGTTCTCATCAGCTCTAAGCATAACTGGAAAAGCTGGATTCAACCCCGCTATATAGCTGGTCTTGAAACTTTGTGCACACATATAAATATTCATTTTTCGACCCCATGAATTATATTGTTTGCACAAAAAATCTGTTGATTTTTAGTTCATCTAGAAACAGTGTGAATGTTGTTTGAATTTCTATCTTCACTCTGTGACAAGTGATATGTAATTCATGCATAATATGGTGATTTTTGGTTTCAGGATGTAAAAAATGAAATTTACTTAGTACTGAAAACATTCAGTGTAACTATATTTATTAAGCCTCTGTGTCTCTCTGTTAAGCCTCACTTCCTCAATACAAATAAAACTCTGCATAGCCAGATACGACTGAATAGGTTTTTAATTCTGCTGACAAAAGTATGATGCATCAAAACACCCAATATTAGTCCTAATTTTTTAGACAAGCTGTGAATAATAATACTTCAATTAAACCCAAAGAATTTTTATGGGAAAGAAGTAATTATAGTATTCTCATTAAGTGGAATAATTGACCATCATTATGGAAATTCTGTAGGCTGAAGTATTTAAAATGTTTAAGGATATTGGTTTTTAACCAAAGCCAAGATATTTGAAAACACAGCATGATATGTCAGTCAGAGTTTCGGTGCGCAACTATCGGTGTATTATTTGTAAAAAACATTTGTGTGGTTAATCTGGTTGAAGGTTAATCTGGTTGAATCAGAGAATTTAATTGATCTCGTGATAAGAGGCATGTTTTCTTCACAGGCGGCCCAATCTTACACTGTGTTATTAATTACGTTATATCTTTATACAAATAGTATATTGAAAATCATTAGAAAATCCTGTGTTATTAATTTATTACGTTATATCTTTATATAATAGTATAATGAAAAAAAGCACTTACATGTGTTTCTTGAAAGATTTTAACGAGAACCAGCCAAGATTAGCGTTGACAAGAGGTTAACGGCCATAGTTGGGGTTGACATGAGGATTAACAACAAGAAATAATACAGGTCACTTTGACCGGCTGGTCACTTTGACCGTTAATTGGACTAATTGGGACAAACGCTGACAGAAATCAATCGAATAACGCGAACTTCGGCTGTCGCATCCTCGCCAAATTACCTTACATCGGAAGAGCGATAATTTTTACATAATATACTTTTCTTTAACAGAATTGAACAATAATCTTCCTGCAGGAAATGCCAATTGAAACTTACGTACAAATGTCTAATCTTCCGAGGTTCGTCACCGATCTGAATTCATGGCCTTCAAATTCGAATTACACGCTCCATTGTCATTGGTCGGCTTTCAAAACAACAACAGGACATTTCCTGTTGTTGTTTTGAAAGTCGACCAATGACAATGCAGCGTGTAATTCGAATTTGAAAGCCATGAATTCAGATCGGTGACGAACCTCGGAAGATTAGACATTTGTAAGTTTCAATTGGCATTTTCTACAGGAAAATTATTGTTCAATTCTGTTAAAGAAAAGTATATTATGTAAAAATTATCGCCTTTCCGATGTAACGTAATTTGGCGAGGATGCGACAGCCGAATTTCGCGTTATTCGATTGATTTCTGTCAGCGTTTGTCCCAATTAGTCCAATTAACGGTCAAAGTGACCAGCCTTGTATTATTTCTTGCTGTTGATCCTCGTGTCAACACCAACTATGGCCGTTAACCTATTGTCAACGCCAATCTTGGCCGGTTCTCGCTAAAATCTTTCAAGAAACACATGTAAGTGCTTTTCGTTATTCTATTATATAAAGATACAGTCGAACCCCTATTAAGCGGACACCTTCGGGACCTCGCCTAAGTGTCCGCTTAAAAGGGGTGTCCGCTTAAAAGGGGTGTCCGCTTAAAAGGAGTATGCAGAAAAACACAGCAGGAGGCAAAGGTGTGTAATTAGGTGTGTAATATGAGTATCAAAACAGTAAAAAATATCTTAGCAAATAATTAGCATAAAATGAAAATTTCTTTGTGCATAAAAGTTCATTAGAAAATGTATACGTCTCTCACAGTCATAAAAAGGGAATCGATACAAGTTTGCTTTCGAGGCTCACGCAGACGATAGCCCATTATAATATCATTTACAGAAAAATGGCGTTGGAAAGTTCTTCCAAACCTCGAAATTGTGCGAATTCTGCCAGCCGATCGACAACTTTAAGGGCTTCGGAGGACGATTTAATGACTGTTTCGTTAAGAGACAAGTCAAATTCATCATTTTCGTTCAGTTCGTTGTCATCAGTGATCTGACACATATCTTTCGGCTCCTCGGCTGGCAGTTCACAGTCCTTGTTTGTCACTTCCTCAATAATCTTGGCTCTGATGTCTTCGCACCAGGTTGGTGTGTCACTGTCAATGTGCCATGTAAATTGATCTCAATTGTTATTTACTGTCGAATATTGAATACATTTTATCACACAATCTGTCATCTGTCCGCTTAGGAGAGGTTGGTTTGCCCATTGGGACCTCAAGTAAGGTGACCGCGTCCGTTTAAGAGGGGTGTCCGCTTAATAGGGGTTACGATAATAGTATTTTATTAAAGAAAACGATTGGGACCTGAGATATGTGTCCGCTTAATAAAGGTGTCCGCTTAAGGTGGCTCCCTACAGTTATTCTTGTTTAAGCAATAATTCCGTAAAACAGGCTTATTCGTGCAGAACGCGAATTCTTTTCGACTTGGTGGCAATATTGGACACCTAAGGAATATTTCGAACTAGATTTCGACGATGTCAATGTTCCCATGGCAACATGACGACAGCATAAAGCCTTCCAATTTAACCCATAAATGTGCCGCTATCTCAAAAACGATGTCGGTGACCTATCTTTTTTATTTCATATACCGATAAAGAATGATGCTCTGCAACTGTGGTGAAAGTTTAAAGAAATTCTGTAGTGTGTGATTTTTTTAAAAGCGAAAAATTTATTGCGAAATTTCCACACTACAGATTTTTTTTAAATTTGAAATTTATAGAATTTACCGCAAAATAAATTCGTGGTCAAAATTTGAAGATAGGTCACCGATGAAACTAATGAGTAAAATGCAAATAAAGTTAGAAAATAGCCTCCTGTAACTCGAGAAATTCCCCTATTGAAAAGCGTCGCTGACTAGTAAAAGATTCTACGCGGGCGCAGAACAAGTTTTCATTCAGCAAAATCGAGCCGCACTGTTGTTTTTACTGTTTTGTTTTTGTCAACTTTTCGATTTATTTGAGTGCTATGGACAGCCAAGGATTATTGTGAAGGATTAAATCGATGAAAACAAGGTTGAAGCTAATTGAATCCTGCCGTTTACTCAATCTGTGAGCTGTAACATAACAGGTGGACGTGTTTTTTTGTTTCATGTTTCATCACTTTAATCTTGTAGAAACACAACTAAAAACGTGAACGTTTTCTTGAGAAGTAAACAACTTTTTAAACGTTTGTATGCAATTTTGCAAATGTTTTACAGTTGAGTCAGTTGACAGTGTATAAAAAAATTTAAAAATATTGTTTCGTAACTGTTTTTTGGTCTAGTGATATTCGTATCATATGTAGAATTGCTGTATAGACTCGCAAGTGATTTGGCACTATAAACGAAGTATTATTCAACGCTTTTTTCCATTATAAACCTTTCAGAAATAGCTTTATTTTTAAAAAAAAGCATGGTCAATTTTTGTTTTGTTTTGATCATGCAGTTGCGTGGGATAGTTCACGTACTTGTCCCGCGAACATCCCGCACGGAACTGTAGGGAGCCTCCTTAAGAGAGGTGTCCGCTTATAGGGGTTCGACTGTATAACGTAATAAATTACTAACACAGGATTTTCTAATGATTTTCAATATACTATTTATATAAAGATATAACGTAATTAATAACACAGGGTAAGATTGGGCCGCCTGTGGTTTTCTTGAGTATGTAGTAAAAGTCTTTCATGAACTCTAAGACAGCCCAGGTGCCAATTGTATTGAACCAAAGATATTAGACAGGGTACAATTATATTACAGCTTTTTTTCAAAATATTATTACAGCATATCCTAGAAGATGCAACTGACAAATGAAGTATTTACCCTAAAATTATTAGTGAATTGTGCCGTGACTAAAATGATATGTTACAGCTTTGGTTCAAATTTCTTAAATCATGAACTGATGTAACTGCAAATGTAAACAAATAGGTGAACGCACACCCAGTACACAGACTGCATGTTATTTGTCTTTAAGACTCCTAAGTCATATATCACTGATATCAGATTCCTAATAAATTTGTTATTTTATACATGTGCTTCAGGACTTCCTTCTATTATTTTTCATGTTTCAAGATCACTGTATATTATTTCTCATGATTCAGGATTGGTACCCCCTCCATCCCTCCCCCTCTTCCAGACAAACAGAAATAAACATCCCAGAAAATAAATATGAAATTAACTCACACACAAAGGTTTCAAGAAACTGTGTATAATTTCATTCGCAACTGTATTTTAAACTACATACATACGGCAGTGGCGTAACGTTATTTCAGGGGGCCCCCGGTTCAAAATTTTCGAAGGCCCCCCTAGTAGAAGTGCCAAAGGCACGAGTCGAGTGCCGTATATGCACGAGTTTCCTAGGGAGTCCAGGGCATGCTCATCCGGGAAATATTTGAATCTAGACTATCTGAAATGTCATTTCCTGGACTTTGGGGAGAGATTTTACAGAATTCTGATGGTCAGAAAACGATATTGTAACATATCAGAGGCCCTGGCCAATGTTTTTGCTCTATCGCATAAGCCTGGGGGCCCCCATTTGGGCAGGAGGCCCCCGTGTTCTCCCGGTCTGAGCCCATAGTAGTTACGCCACTGACAAACGGAAAACAACCTGTCACTCCACCAGTTAATTGTTTCAAAATATTCTGCTTTGATAACTACATGTTTACACATGAAGAATTTCGTTTCCATAAATGTCCCTTTGATTATACAGGCACATTACTGAGTATTTATCCTTCCATAAAAGTACAATAAAATCCCAAGTGATATTCTTTGGTCAATACATAAAAATTACTTGTAATCAACATTGTTTATTAAATTATTTATAAAACGTCGCACACAAGCAGCTGTATTGGATACAGAATAGACAGTTTAAAGACAGATCACTCGACTAGTTTTCTCTCAGTTTGATCCTCGATCTTTGATAAGTATTACCGTTAGCTATTCCACGATGTGTTGAAAGAAAGCTCGTAGAATGCATAGCTAATATATACACACTCTCAAATCTCACTTGGAAAGTTTTATTTATCATAATAATATAAAAACTCGAAAACGTCGCGCCTTCGCGCTGCCATGTTTGACAAAATCAATCGACTCCGTTCCCCCCGGATTGAAAACTAAATTATTACGAAATGTCCAATATTTTTGGAGTCACGTGACCAGTGTTTACCAGGGACCACTGAGCTATACTTAATATATCTGGAGATTGTGCTCTCGACGAAAGTGTGTGGCCAAAAACATGGCGAATTTGACGTCACAATCGACCTATTTTCATGGCAGTTTTCACTGACCCATGGCTCGAATGTCCGTGGGCGACAAAATTCAACCCCCCCCCCCTGATTTTACAGTGATTTATCATTTATGTACTGTTGTTTGTATTAGTTGATCGACGATGGAGTGTATTTTGATTTTCGTCCTTTTGAAAATACAGTATTATTCCAACTGCAAGTATAAATCAATAAAGACCAAAAGCCATTAATAAAAAAAGACATAAATGGAGCTTGACGGCCACAAGAACAAAGCATGTAAGTCATTGAAATGATTTATCAATTCTTGTTGTATTGTGAATTTGTGTTGCAACTGACTATCAAGATTATTCTTTAAAACACGAGTATTATAACAATCCCCAGCAAGTAAAATTAAGCAAATATAGCTTGTTGAAAACCGTACTGCTGTAAATTTCCCTGAGTGACAAAGGTTTTTTTAGAGATTTTAATACCAGTTTATTCTATCAGTAAATTGTGGGGAAAAGCAACTCTTTGGAATATAAAGCACTTATATCACCATTAAAGTTTTTTACACCTGTATGTATTCCGCTTTCAGGTACGAATTTATCAAGAAAATATGGGATATCTGTACTAAGTAACAGGTGGCAATGAAGAAAGTCAAGTGTATTTCTTTATAATGGTCTTCCTTGTAAAAGGCAATGGCACTATTTCATTGAACATTCAAGGAACAATCGCCTTTTAAAACAAATATGCACATTTTTATGCTCGAGTTACAATGTTTGATTTTGATATCTGCATTTTATGCGATTCATACCTTATTTTTAAGTGTTCCTCAAATATTGATTCAATACATTACCTCGGGCTGACCAATTCATTCCATCAAGATATTTGTTGTGTTGGTGTAATACATGTACTCAGGTGAATAAGATGCTTGTGCAGGGACCGCGGAGACGGGGGGGCTGGGGGGGCTTTAGCCCCCCCCACTTTTTTTGACAGCCAAAATTATTAAAATAGAAATCTAAATGAAACTTTCTAAATTAATTAATTGGGGGTTTTATTGATGATTTAGCCCCCCCCACTCTCTAATACGCTCCGCGGGCCCTGTTGTGGGATGTTACGTACTCTGAGTGGATATCCACACTGGGCAGGCTTGAAAAATATGCCTGGCCCCAGTCGGATTTGAACCTACAACCTTTGGAATACTGGCCCAATGCTCTGCCAACTGAGTTATACAGTCGGGGCAGTTCGAGTATGCGATATTTCGGAACTGAGTCTAGTTCCTTCGATATCAGTGTAATCTAATAACCATGATATTTGTGAATATGATGCTTGTGTGATGTTACTCTGAGTCCATATCCACACCGGGCAAGCTTGAAAAATATGCCAAGCCACATTGGGATTCAAACCGACCTGACCGCGTAGCTCAGTTGACAGAGCATTGGCATTTGGGCTAGTATTCCAAAGGTCGTAGGTTCAAATCCCTACTAAGGGTCAAGCATGGCGGTCTGTTCGTGGCTGCTTGTTAAAGTTATATTTTATTCAATTTAATTGATTCTGCTTAATATCAAGGCTTACAATAATGAATCTATGCAAGTGTACAACCTCAGGGAGAACTTTCGGGCTGTTAACGAATTGTCTCGTCCAGTATTCAACGACATTTGTCATCTAAAACGTCGACGATCGTCTCAGCTCGCTGATTCTACGGCAAATTTTAAAGCGACCAAAGTTATTCATCTTACAAGGAATATGTTGTTGGTAACGTTACTAAAACTCTGTGGTGATGTTGCTCTAAACCCTGGCCCTGTTCAACTAAATTTGCAATCGCCAATATCTAAAGGTTTAAAGATCCGCCCCCGGAATATACAACGGCTTACAACAACCAAACAAGACGAAATAAAGATTAGCCTCACGGAAAATTCGAACAATTCTAACAAGATCGATATTCTGTTTTTTATCAGAGACATTCTGCACGAACAAGACTCCTGACTACCTATACGCTATTACGGACTATAAATTATTTCGTAAGGACAGAATAGGTAAGATCGGCGGAGGGGTTATGGCGTTTGTACATAAAGATCTGGAAGTTGAACGGCGAATCGATATGGAGGACGATGACTTAGAGGCACTGTGGCTAGAAATTAACCCGCACAAATCTAAAGATCATTGTTTGTTGCTGGAGTATATCGTCCGCCATCATCGAATGTTGATATGGACAAGAAACTTGGTAGAAATATTGAGAATGCGAAACTGCGTAATAAAGAGCTTATTATCATGGGGGATCTTAACGTTGACTATATGACACCTGAAAAGTTTTGTAAACAAAAACTAATGAAGAGCTTGTTGAATCTTAATCTGTCCCAGTTGGTAAATCAAATCACAAGACCTATCTCGCAATCATGTCTGGATCATATATGGTGCAGTCACCCAGAACGAATCAGACAGGTAGAAGTGTTGTCATCAGGTATGTCTGATCATTTACCTATAGTTGCTGTAAGAATATACAAAAAATTGAAAGACAACAAAGGTGAGCATCATAACATTACGTATAGGGACTGAATGAACAAGCTTTTTGTGAGTCTTTGTCTTCCACTCCATGGGATTGTGCATTCACTTTTGATGACCGCGATGATATTGTTTACGCATGGTATAATATTTTTAACAGTATTGTTGATCAACACGCACCATTGAGACAAAAACGAGTTAAAAGAAAATCTCAACCTGATTGGTTTAGCAAAATTCTTGAAGATGTGCTAAAGAAAAGAGACAAGCTACTCTACAGACCTAGACAATCACAATCTGATTCCGACTGATCAGCTTTTAGAAAGGCGAAAAATAAAGCCACTAATTTGTTACGAAAAACTAAACAAACGTATTTTAAGAATAAAGTGGCCGAAAATAGAAACGATCCTAGAAAATTATGGCGTCTAATTCGCGAACTCGACGGCGTGAATGTCAAGGAAAATTTTACATGGCGTTTGAATGACGGTGACAAGTTAGTATCGGACAAGTATCAAATTGTTGAGATGTTTAACTCATACTTTATCGAACTACCGAAATCAATTTTCACTGAATTAATTAATATAACTGGAGACTATATTTCCCCAGAGAAACGAGTTCACTCGCAGCTCGAAATCCCCCACATCACACCTGAGCAAGTGAATGATTTTCTGGATCAAATTCCTGTAAATAAAGCTACCGGCCCAGATGGTGTAGGTATACGGCTTCTCAAGTTAGCTGCCCCTGTAATTTCAGAATCGCTCAGCAGAATAATTAATTCCTGCATAATAACTGGAAAATTTCCAACAAAGTGGAAAGAGGCGATCGTTACACCTATCTACAAGGGTAAAGGTTGTAAAAGTGAAGCCTCAAATTACAGGCCCATATCAGTGTTGTCCGTCTTGTCTAAGGTGTTTGAAAAGCACATTGCGTCATCATTGCGTGCTCACTTGAAGGAGAACGTCTTGTTGTATGGATTACAATCCGGCTTCCGGAAGTCATTTTCAACTGAAACTGCATTAATTGATTAATAAGGCTTTTGGATCAGTTGCTTTTCAACCTTGATGAAAACTGTGTTAGCGGTCTGGTCCTCGTTGATTATAAAAAAGCATTTGATTTAATAGACCATAACATCTTGATTAAAAAGCTTTTTTTCATATGGAGTACATGGCCAGTCGCTGGAATTGTTCAAAAGTTATCTTTCTGATCGATCCCAATATGTCAATGTGGACGGTGTTAAGTCATCCTCTAGGCCTGTCGAATGTGGTGTGCCCCAAGGATCTATACTTGGGCCCATTTTATTCATTATATTTATTAACGATCTTCCAGATCAGATTAAACATTCTGTTGCTGATATTTATGCTGATGACACGACGCTTAGCTATGCACATGATTACTCTTCTGCCCCTCAGTCAATTACGGTTGAATTACAGAAGGACATTACAAACCTTGCAGATTGGTCAAGAGTTAATCATATGGTTTTGAATGAAGAGAAAACTAAAACTCTTCTGATCGCCGGAAAGCGCCTGAAGAAGAAAATGGACACACTTGATATTGATCTTATGCTGAATGGGAAAAAACTCCAACAAGTCACCTCGTTTAAATTACTTGGAGTTACGCTCGATGATGAACTGAGCTTTGATATACATGTTTACAATATATGTAAGAAACTATCTCAACGAATCGCGGTACTCCGTAAAATAAAGCGTTGCCTTCCATTTCGAGAACGCTGTCTTTATTATAATGCTATGATAAAGCCTATCATTTTCTATGGTTCAGCTGTTTGGACAACAACCTTGAAAGAAAACCTAAACAGAGTTTTTAGGTTACAGAAAAGAGCAGCTCGGGTTATTTTAGATTTGGACATGTCAGCGCGAACAGTTAACATGTTTCAGCAACTAAACTGGATACCATATACTACGACAAAGTGAAGATTCTGCGACGAAGTGAAGAACAACAGCCTATAAACGTATAAAGAATGATTCTCCGAACTATTTAGATGATATGCTGAAACTGAATTCTAGTGTAAATAGTAGATCCACTAGATATTGCAATTTAAATTTCCTATGCCCTAAATATAAGCGAGAAACCGAAGGTGGTCGTACATTTGCCGTTTCGACCATAAAACAATGGAACCAGCTGTCTAAGACTGTGCGTGATAAGGGGACGGTGGCTTCGTTTAAACACAGCATGAGACATTAAAGAGAGCTATGAAAACATCGATCATTTTACTATATAATCTTCGGATTTTAGACGTATGTATATATAGTATTTTATAAATTTAGTACTTAGGTTT